ACACTATTTAAAAACAGTTACATTTCAATCCCCAGTTCCGCCAAAAAAATAAAAAAATAAATAATAAATAAAAACAATTACATGGGGCTGGGGACACAGTACAGTGGTAAAGCACTTGCAAAGCATGTGTGGAGGCCCAGGATGTAATTTCCAGCACAGGATAAAACCAAATCAAGCTAAACAAAAAAACCCCACAACAAGGGCCAGCCAGATAGCTCAGTGGATTAAAGCACCTGCTTAGGCAGACACAGGGACTGGTTTGATCCCCGGAGTGACCATGCACACTGAGATGGCCTGACACTGGGCATGGTGGCATGCATCTCTAATCTTAGCATTCAGGAGGCTGAAAACAGGAGGATCACTACGAGTTCTGTGTAGTGAGACCCTGTAGACTCTGTACTAAATACATTAAAAAAAAAAAAAAAAAAAAAACCAACAACTCCCAATCTAAAATTATATGTCTTAACATATAATAAAGTGAGTCAAGGCTAAACTCACTTAAAGGGTCTTAAGAGTATTTCAGAAAAATTAGCTACTGATTTGGAATGAATCTTGGATTTTTTAATACTTTATGTGTATTCATGCTTTTTGAAACACATTTCTTTCTATTTCTTTCTCAGGTATCCTTAGCTCATGATGCTGAATAACTTCCATATTATTTTAGTATAAAATAACAAAATAACAAAAAATAATAACTAGTAAAATTTTGCCTCACTTCTGAGCTTGTTTCCACTTTCTGATTTGTATTGGCCCAAACATAAACTGAACTCATGAAACTATCTCCTGCTACTCACTAATAAGAACCTCTATTTCATGACAATTTATTTATTTATTTATTTTTGGTTCCCAAAATGCAGCTGGCTGGTATAGGCATGGAATTGATAGTGAGAAGAAGGAAGAAAATGGTTATGGGCACAAACAAGCAAAAAACTCTTGTTTTCAATTATCCTGCAAGCCACGTATAAAAATCACTGAGGTAGCAGTAGACATCAAATCTCATAAAAAATACTATGAGAAATAAAAATGATTTTAGTAATGTAAGACCACCATAGCTAGCTAGTAGGGTCCGAGCAAAAGCCACTGAGGATCTCAGAAGAAAATAATCTTTTAGTATTAAACAGAAAAATATTCTCTCCTCTCAACATAATTATCCTATCTCCCATATAAGTTGCATAAAGCTATCCTTATACTGTGTACTTAAACATTTATAAATTATCTGAAACAATTCTATTCATTTCACAAATATGTAAAATATGGCCCAACAAGGCTAATTACTTGGCAAAAGACTTGGCGATAATGTATGGAATAGGTGGGACTTTTTACTCAGGCTTTTGCTCTGAGCTCTACTGCCTGTCTTAGGAGAGCCCTCTTGTGTCACTTCATGCTTAGAGCACCAATACTAAGCCCAGTGATAAACAGCTCTGGCTTATATAGTGACAGTGAAAAGGATGAATTTTTTTTTTTTTTAAACTGGGGATTGAACCCAGGATTTTGCACCATGCTATATCTTCTAGCCCTTCCATTAAAATCAATCAATCAATCAATCAATCAATCAATCAATCAATCAGAGATAGGGTCTTGCTAAGTTGTTTAGCTGCCTCTGAGCTTATGATCCCTCTCCTCAGACTTCTGAGTAACTGGGATCAAGAAATGTGCAACCACTTGAATATGTGGCACTTGGGATCTAAGGTTCTAGATGTTTAAACATATAGTACTGAGGTGGTAGTTTAGGTGGCAAGAGAAAAGGGTTTTGGCATTTTCAAAACAATATGCTCTACCCTGCCCCCTATTAACAAAAGATCTGTGATTTTAAAATAAGCCAACATTTTTTCTCTTCCTATGCCTCTGATTAACAACTGGTATAAGAAATAAAAAACACGTAATTTACAATCAGTTTTTACTAAAAGGGGCAGGAAAAAAATGTGAATTCACATTCCCACACACTTGTTTCTGTCTCTCTCCAGAGACTGACTTCCTAGGTTTTCTTGCTATTTGGCTTTTCTGTCGCCAAACCGAAGAGACCACTGTGGCAATGAAGAAAAGTTGTAGATTGCTATTAACTGACTACTGTACCCTTCATTAGTATGTATGATCAAGAGTTGACTGGAATAGGCAGGGGAAAAAAGAAACAAAAAAAGGAAGACAGGAGAGAAAGATTGCTCAAATATTTAAGATATAAAATATGAAAACCATAAGGAAGTAGTGAACACAGTTCCTCCTCTGAATGTTTTGCTGCAAACTGGGTTTTGTACAGAAGGCAGAGAACCAGAGCTCTTTGCTCCTTCTTGACCTGAAAATAAACAAGAACCAAAGCCAGACCCGCCTGAACCTTGCAATCGGTGCTTGGCTAATCCACTGCGTCTTTTAAAATTACCCCCCCCCCCTTTTTTTTTTCTTTTTTCAGAACCGGGGATTGAACTCAAGACCCTGTGCTTGCCAGGCAAGCGCTTATTCTACTGAGCCATCTCCCTGGCCCGAACCCTGTCATGAAGTACAAGTTTTGTCTTTAAGTATAACTAAGACCAAACTATTTAAAAAGTTTTTTTACGACTCACATTTCTGCTTACACCTCAAATTTATATCAGAAAACATTACACAGATTACACAGGCTAGAATAGGTTAGCTGGTATTTTATACTGTTTGTAACACATTCTACCTACCTTACAGGGTTGTTGTGAGGAAAACTGTCAGATTTTGAAAAATGCCTTGAGCTCCTCGAAGGAAAGGCGCTATACAAAAGCAAAAACAAATAACAATAAAAACCTACTTGTATGATTTATGTTGTAAATTTATGTTTCTAAACACTCATAATTGTATGATTTATATTTCTAAACACTCATAATATTCATTGTAAGAAAACTCTTAAAAATGCTGATACTTAAGAACTTCATGAAGCCACACATAGGTTCAGAAGGATAACAATGTCAGGTTGTTAATTAAAAAAAAAGTATCCTGAAATGACACTTGCTCTATAACATTATCTTCTCAGCTTATTGCCTGCTTCAGTTGTCCCATGAATGTAGGTTATATCAAGTCTCAGGGTCATATTGCCTAAACAAGGAGGCATTACTGAAAACATCCTTCTTTGTCTTTTCAATATATTTTTTTTTTTTTTGGTGGTACCAGGGATCAAACTCAGGACCTAGTGCTTGTCAGGCAGGTACTTATGCTGCTAAGCTATTTTTCCACCCCATTTTGTTTCTGTACACATATTAATACATGCATATACACAGACGTATACATACACCTTGCATAAATAAATAATTATGACAATACATATTACAATTCAAAGTTTTACATAATAGGAGTACAACATTACTAATTTAATTTGTAATATGAAATATTCAAACTCAAGCTACCAAATACAAACAATATAGTGTGGCATATGCTGTAGGAAACATTTTTATGTGGATTTTTTTGTGGTACTGGGGATCAAACTCAGGACCTTGTACTTGCCAGGCAGGTGCTTATGCTGCTGAGCTATATCTTTGGCCCAGGAACACTTTTATAAAAGGCATTTATTCTTTCTCAATATATAAATTGTAGGAAGAGTGAGAAGAGAAGGATTTCTCCAAAAGATTTAAGTCTTTTAAACAGAAATACAAGAGGGCTGGGGAGATAGCTCAGTGGAATAAGCACTTCCCTGGCAAGTGCAATTGCCTGAGTTCAATCCTCGGTTCTGCCAAAAAAAAAAAAAAAAAAAAAAAAAAAAAAAAGAAAACCAAAGGGGGCCCCAACTTCCTTTAAAAACAGAGGTATTTAAAAAAAAAAAAAAAAAAAAAAAAAGAGGCATTACCAACAATTCTTCTCTTGCTAAAAAGAATCTGTTGCACAACTGACAAAAGTCAACTACTAATTTTTCGTATGAAATTCTTTTTTATTTTTTTTTGATATAGGGTCTCGCTACACAGTTCGTACTCACTATACAGTTCAGACTTGCCGTAATCCTCCTGCTTCAGCTTCCCTAAGAACTGGGATTACAGGCATGTGCCACCACACCCATGGCCAAGGCCTGAATGGCATGTGGTTCCAGGGATCAAACTCCAGATCTTGCGCTTGCCAGGCAGGCGCTTGTCGCTGAGCTATCCCCACAACCCCTCTAAAATTCTTTACTAGAGATTGAATATAGGCCTTCTGCACTGAGCTATAGCTCTATCTCCCCACTCCTTCTTGAAAACATTTCTGAGAGAGTCATGCTAAGTAGCTGAACTGCATACATTGGGCTTAATTTTAAAATTATCCTGCTGGGATTACAGGCATGTGCCACTGCACTTAGCTAAAATTTTATCAGGGTCTTCTAGGTTTAGAAGGTAGACAATGAGCACTGGTCTCTTACATTTAGGGGAAAAACGGGGAAATGAACTTAAGTAATAATGTAAATTAGATCTTAATTGGACATAACAGAATCAATCTTACTAATTTTCTAGAGAATAGCCTGCTCACAGGAAACGATTTAGATAATTTCACCTCTATTCCACTGTTTCACTTTATTTTACTGAGTAAAGATATATGATGACACGAAATTACACAAGAATACCTGAACCACTCCTTTCTCAACTTACAATATAATTGATAAGTAACCATAATTTACATTGTTTTCATTAAATGAGGGAAAAATTAGAGTAAAAAGGAACACAAGATTTTTCTTCCAGTCACCTGTCGTCACCAATTCATACCTTTCTGTCATTGTCCATTCACCTACAATTCTCTTCCTGACTTGTGATAGGCACTAGAGTACAAATTGCCAGTGAGTATGATGGGACAAGAAGGAACCCTAACCTTAATCCCTAACCCCAGCCTAGATTGGCTTTCTACTGTAAGTCTCGGCTGGCATGCTCCCTATTCAACTCAAAACCTTTTTTTCAAAAGCAAAAAGAAAAAGTTGCAAACCTATGATTTCCTGTTTGGTGGCAGAAACAATTACAAAATGATTTAGGTATCTTTTCTGAGAGGTAATATTTAAAAAAGTTATTTGAGACCTTAAATATAAAAGAGAGATTAAGATGAATGCAATCATATTTTATATATACAGCAAATGATACTGAATAAATGTACTTTCTGCATACTAAATGTCTTTAAATTTTCTTTTAACTTGTAATAATTAATTGCATTACAAAGATCATATGTGAAGCCAACATTTCCTATGTTTAGTGGCAATTATTTAAAAGAGGTAAAAGTCTATAATAAAATTATTAAAAATGACCTTATTGTAAGTTATTAAAAATGCACTTTCAAGGTTTTACAGGATGCCTATAAGACTTTAACTAAAATAATTACCAGTATTGAAAACAAAATTTAAAGCTATTCCACCAGTTTAACATTTAAACAGAAATATTTTGAAGTAAAACAATTAAAATTGACAAGACTCTTAGAGGCTTGCTTTGTTTCTTTCGGCTCATAGGAAAAAAAATCCTTCTGTAGCAAAGAACCTTCCTTTAATGTCATTAAAAATTTTGAACAAAAGAAAAATTAGTCATCTATTTTGTTTTCTTTCTGCTGAAATACTTACAGACTGAACCTGGAATTACACAGAGCTACATTCTCAGCCCTTTTTTATTTCTGAGATAGGATTTTGCTAAATTATTATTATTATTTTTTTTTTTGAAGAACCAGGAATTCCAGGCAAGCACTTAATCTAATGAGAAAGCTCCCTGGGCCCTAAATTACTAAACTTCACAGTTGAAACCTCTAATCCTCCTAAGCTTAGCTACCCACTGTGCTGAGATTACAGGTGTATATCATTATACCTGGCTAGCTATCTGCTTTGTTAAATCTGTTTCATTCAGTATAAAGACAAAATTACCTAGTATTCATTTTGTGTGTCTGAAAACCTAAATAGGGATCAAGAACCAAACTGGTTGCTAGGTCATCATTTTCACACAGTTCCTTGGCGGACATTCCAGAAGATGGCACATAACGACTCTGTCCTTCAAATCCTGAATTACCATTACCTGTGAAAAGCAAAAGAAAAAAAAGTAATTCAAACTATGAAATACTTAATTTTAAGATCTTTAAAATCATTGCCCATTCAAGCTAATAATAAAAAACTAAGATTGCTTATTCCCATTAGTTTTAATAATTAAGAAAATAACATCCTTGCTTAAAAAAGAAAACTACAACAAACTGAGTCAATTATTGAGAGTATTTTGGGTAGGGGATAATATCAGGTTTCCAAAGAATGGATCTGAACAATTGGGAAACTCTTTGATTCAAGTCATTTATTCTCTCCTTCAAGGAACAGCAAGGAAACGGGATGGCAGGATGTTGTTGTTGTTATTATTATTTTGTGTGTGTGTGGGGGGGAGTGCCAGGGATCAAACTCAGGACCTGGTGTTTGCCAGGCAGGTACTTATGCCGCTGAGCTATATCCCCAGCCTCAGGATGTCATTATTTATTTATTTATTTATTTATTTATTTTTGCGGTACTGGGGATTGAACTCAGGAGCCTGTACTTGCCAGGCAAGCGCTTATTCTACTGAGCTATCTCCCTGGGCCCCAGGATATCATTATTTTAATGAGACAGTATACAGGGCCATTACACATAGGGATGGGATGAGAAGAAAACAAGAACTCAAGGTAGTTTCTGAAATAAGTACCAGAACTGAATTTCAAGAACCAAAAAAGAGTTTTAGGGAATTCAGCTTCTTGATTTTGGGGAGCTGAGTGATTACTATCCCTACTTTGTAGGCAACTTAAGTCAAAAGGTTAAAAAACTTGCTTATGATCACAGAGCTAAACAGCAAAAGAAGGGGAAAAATGCAGAGTGACAGTTCTGTTGTTTTGTTTGTCATTATTTTTTAATTTATGTATTTGGTATAGGTCTCACTATGCATCTTGGACTTGTAGTGATCCTCCTGTTTTAAGCATCCCTAGTGCTGGGGTCATAGGTGTGTGCCACCACGCCTGGACTCTGTGAGAGGGAGGGATGCACGCGCAAGTGTTGCCAGGGATCAAACCCTGGTACCTGCGACTGCCTAAGCAGGTAGTTAAGTCTGCTGAGCTATCTCACCAGCCTTAGTTCTCTTTATTTTAAATAATTTTCAATAAACAGATTTTAAAAAGGGAGTGAAATATATAACTGAAATAAGAGTTCAACTGTAAAGAAAATTCACCTTTATAGAGATTAAGATTCACTACTGTTAAGTTTGATGCATACATCAACAGTCTTTTCACGGAATTAGCATATACAATTTATAGCGCACCAGCATAACTTTTAAAGAAAAAAAATTTTTTTTTTTGAGACAGGCTCTTGCTCTGCAGTTCAGACTGGCCCTCAACTTACTTTGTAGCACAGGCTGGCCTCAAACTCACAGCAATACTCCTGCTTCAGCCTCCCAAGTGCTGGGATTACAGGCATGCGAGATCACGCCCAGCTACCAGCATAATTTTAAGGCTCTCAAAACCAAGATATCGAAGAATGAGAGACACAGGGATAGGTTTTACCTTCTTTTCATCTACTCTTTCATAAAACAAAATAAACATGTGCAAAGGTTCTGTCAAGTGCAGATACATGATTTTGCAATGAAATTAGCTTTAAGTATACTATCAAAAAGATTATTTTTGCTTAGACAAATATGTAGTTCAGGGCCGGGGAGATGACTCAGTGGAATAAGCGCTTCCCTGGCAAGTGCAAGGGCCTGAGTTCCACCAAAAAACAAACAAAAAATGTAGTCCAAGCTGGCCTTGAATTTACTAGGTAGCCCAGTTCGCTTCAAACTCATAATCTTCCTGCCTCAGCTTCCTGAATGTTGGCATTATCAATATGTACCACCACCCCAGCTCTGAAATTAATTTTCTTAAAAGCTTCATTGAAATATAATTCATCTACTATATAATTCACCCATTTAAAGTATATAACTTGATTTTTTTAAAACCATATTTGAAAGAGCTGTACAATCATCACCTGAAAAAGAAACTCTGTATCTATTAATATTTCCCTACCTATTCCTCCTTCTGCACAAACTATGGAAACCACTAATTTACTTTCTTTTTCATTGTCTTCACTTTTTTTTTTGAGACAAGCATCTTGCTCTGTAATCTGAGTTGGCCTCAGATTCAGTGATCCTCCTGCCTCAGCCTCCCAAGTGCTGGAATTACAGGCATGCACTACCATTCCCAGCTCTCTTACTTCCTGACTCTGATTTTGTTTATTCTGAAAACTCCATATAGTTGTAATCAGACAGTGTGTGACATTTTGTGAAAGGCTTCTTTCACTTAGCAATGTTTTGAAAATTCATTCGGGGTACACCATGCATTAGTACTTCATCCTTTATTATGATCAAATAATGATCCACTGCATGGATATATACCATACTTTGTTTATCTACATGCCAGTTGGTAGATCTAGTTATTACAACTCATACTACTGTGAATAATCATAAAGTTATTGCATGTACATTGTTTTCAATTCTACCTAGGAGTGGAAATGCTGGATTAAGTAGCAACCGTATGTTTAACTCCTGAGGAACTAACTGCCAAATTGTTCAAAAGTGGTTGTTCCCACCAGCACTGTTCTCCTTATCAATACCTGTTATTATCTCCCTTTTTTTTTTTTTTTTGCAGAACCGGGGATTGAACTCAGGCCCTTGTGCTTGCCAGGGAAGCACTTATTCCACAGAGCTACCCCCCCATGTTATTATCTTTTTGATTCAAAGTATCCTATTGATTGTAAATTAGCGCCTTGCAGCTTTGATTTAATTTCCCGGTAAGTAATGATACCAAAATCTTTTCTTATGTTTGTCTATTCAGATCATTTGCCCATTTTAAAACTGGATTTTGGGGGAACTATCCACTCGGGCCCCCCTCCAGTCCCTCTCTTGGACAGGAGCTTTCTTTCCCTCAATAAATATATTCTGCTCATAAAAAACAAAAAAAACCTGGATTTTGTGTTTCACTGTTGGCTTTAGAGTTCTTTGTATTGTGGATACCAGTCCCTTATCAGATATATGATTTGAAAATATTTCCTCTCATTCTGTGATTGTTTTCATAATCCTAGCAGTGCATCCTGAAAAAAAGTTTGCAATTTTAATCAATTTTTTTTGATTTTGTTTTTTGTTACTTATATACTTGATGTCATTTTTAAGAAACCCATTACTGAATCCAATGTCAGGAAAAATTATGCTTGATTTCCTAGAAATTTTATAATTTTGCTTTTCTTTGGGGTCTTTGATTCATTATTTTTTACATGAGATGGGAGTTCAACTTCATTCTTTGTGTATGGATATCTATATTTTCCCAGCACCATGTGCTGAAAAAGACTTGTTTCTCCACTGCATTCTCTTCGTAGTCCTGTCAAAAATCTGCCAAAATGTGAGATTTCCTATTCTATATATCTACATGTCTATGCCAGATCATTTATTGTCTTACTACAACTTTATAGTCAGTTTTTATTTATTTTTAGTGTTTTATGTATTTATTTGGTACAGGGTCTTGCTATGCAGCTTGGATTCATAGTGATCCTCCTGTCTCAGCCTCCACAGTACTGAGATTACAGGCATACACCACCACGCTCAGTTTCAGGCATAACATGTGGTATTGGGATCAAACCTGGGTCCTTGAGTTTGTCAGGCAGCGGGTTAGACCACTGAACTATCATCTCTCCAGCCAATAGTTAGTTTTTAAGCTGGCAAGTGTGAGTTCTCCTACTTTATTCTTTTTTTCTTACATTTATTTGTGTGTGTGTGTGTGTGTGTCCAGCTCAGCCCACCAGGGGGCGGGCTGGCTGGCATGTGGTGCTGGGGGATTGAACCGCGGTCTCTGTGCTTTGCTAAGCTTGTTCTAAATAGGTGCTTTAGACCACTGAGCCATCTCACCAGCCCCATCCAACTTTATTCTTTCTCAAGATGTTTCCACTCTTCTGAGTCATTTGAATTTCCATAAGTACTTTAGGATCAGCTTGTCATTTGGAGCCAGCTAACATTTTAATAAGAACTGCGTTGAATCTATAGATTTATATTAAAGGAGCACTGCCACATCAATAATATTAAATGTGCTATTAGTCAATGAACATGTTTTCCCATTTATTTAGGTCTTATTCAACTTTTCAATAATAGTTTGTAACTTTCAAAGTTCATACTTCTGTAAACTCAATCCTTTTTGGCTTTTAACATTCTATTGTAAATGAGATTTTAATTTCATTTTTGGATTGTTCATTTCAAGTGTATACAGATGATATTTTGTGTACTGATATTGCATCCTCCAAGCTTGCTGTTCTATTTTTTTTTTTTTTTTTTTTTTTTTTGCAGTGCTGGGGATTGCACTCAGGACCTTGCACTTCTACTGTTTTTATGATACAGTCTCACTATGTAGCTCAGGTTGGCCTTGAACTTATGATCCTCCTGCCTCAACATTCCTAGTTCTAGGATTAACAGGCATGTGCCATCATATCTAATTTTCTCAGGGTTTTCTACATATGTAATGTTATCTGAAAAACAGAAATTGTTTCTTTTCTTCCTGTCCAATTTAGATGCTTTGTAGTCCTTTTTTTTTGCATAATGGCTCTAGTTAGAACCTCTAGTAAAATGTTGAGGAAAAGCGGTGATTGGTATCATAGTCTCGTTCCTGAATCTTGAGACAAAGCAGTACTTCACCATCACATATTTAATAACTGTGGTTTTTTAAATAGATGCTTCTTCAAGTAGTGGTATTCCCCTTTATTCCTAGTTCATTATTTTCTGGCCTGAAAGTACACTGGATTTGTTAAATGCTTCTTTTGCATCTACTGAGATAACCATATGATTGGTTTTTGTCTCTCATTCTATTAATATGGCTTATTAAACTAATTGATTTTCAGATGTTTAATCTATCCTGCATGCCTCAAATAAATCTCTCTAGGTCATATGAGAGAATTTTTTCTGGTACTGTGAATCAAACTCAGGACTTTGCATTTGCCAGGCAGTTGCTGTGCTGTTGAGCTATATCACCAGTCCCAGAATTTCTTTTATGCACTGTTGGACTACGTTGAAGGCTTTTGTATCTGTGTTCATAAGAGATACTGGTCTGTAGTTTCCTTGTCATGTCTAGTTTTGAAAGCAGGATAATAGGTAGAAGTATTTTTTTCTGTCTTTTGGAACTATATGTGGCAAATTAGTATTAATTCTACAAACTGGTAGACATCTTGGAGAATTCACCAATGAAGCTATCTGAACTGAGATTTTCTTTGTGGGTAGATTTTTTTTTTTTTTTTGTACATCTAACTAATTTATTCAAGTTAACATACGATTAATAAACATGGACCACATATTGATGGAGGCACACTTTTGTAAAGATTTTCAGTAATGACAGACTTTTAAACTTTAACCAAAGGTATGAAAAAAATGATTATATTTTCAAACTTAAAGTACACATGTTAATGGTTGAACAATCAGTAATAAAATTGTTAGGAGTATTATACAAGTGAATATTTTTTCCAGTTTCATAAATCAAGAGTATTTATCATCTCTTTCCTCAGTTTATATTTGGATTGTCACTCTGAAGGACACTATGCAGCTAATCACTTAAGTCACTTTGGGGACAAAAATTTGTTGCATTGGCAATCTATGCAATTTTACATTCTTAAATGTAGCAAGGAAATTATTTTGGCATTTGTTAGAACAATATCCTGTTCTTAGAAACATCTCATAGAAGGAAAATACACTTGAGATTTTGCTTTAAAATATTTTAATAATGAGGTAGACTCATATCTATATCTATATCTATATCTATATCTATATCTATATGTATGTAGATTCACATTATATTGTAACAGTTTACAATAAAGATAGCACTGACTTAGTTTTCAAAAACAATTTGCAAGTTTTTCACAGATGAATACTTTTGGGTCCAGATTTCTTTCTTTGCATTCGAAATCTGGGTCACTGAAAAATTTCATCCATCTAAGACTTCTAGACTAAAAAACTAATCTAATGGAGACAAATTGACAGCATTCTAACTGGTTGAAAGGGCTGAATACTAATCATTTTTCAGAAAATTAATGTGGTTAATGAAAAGCCTTGGCAAACTTCTGCTAAGTATCTGACTACTAACTTCTTGCATATGTAATACCCCAGTGAATCTTCATAAGCATTTTGTGGCGATGATGCCATCATATCCATTGTACAGATGGAGAAACGAAGGCTTAGCAGTGACTTAGGAGGGGAACCAGGACTAACCGCACACTGGTCTGACTTGCTCCTCAATATGCCGCCTTCTGCGCCACCAGTCATGACTCATCGGCTCCAACATGGGAACATAGGAAGCCTTTGTTTTTTTTATCATAAATCTTACTGGACTAAACAGCCTACAATATTAAAGTTCATGCTTATTCAAAATACAATTAATCTTTGATGCATCTGTGTTCTGTATTCGCGAGTTTTTCTACTTCTCAAGTCAATGCTCACAGTGCTTTGATGGTCGTCTGCAACATGTGAGGAATATGGAGAAATGGGCCT